GTTTAAAATTTCACAACCTCGTAAATCAGGGCGTTAAGCTAAATGTTAAACTTAAATCTATCAATGACATTGATCTAGCTATAAATAATTTTACAAATTTGATCCAGTCAGCGGCTTGGTCATCCAATTCACACACACATCATTCTCTAAATCAGACTTCAGTTCCTTCTGATATTCGTCTATTAATTGCAAATAAGAGAAGGGCTAGAGCTCTTTTCCAACGTACTCGCCTTCCCTCTCTTAAACATAACTATAATAAACTCTCAAATCTCCTTAAAAAAATGTTGTCCAAACACAAAGCCTCTTTACTTGAAAAATTCTTGACGAATCTGTCTCCTAATGACGGCAGTCTTTGGAGAGCCACTAAAATAACATGTAAACTCAATTCTCCTAACGTACCAATTAAAAAATCAGATGGATCCTTTGTCTGCACCGACTGGGAAAAAGCCGAATTATTTAAAGATTTTCTTCGTGAGACATTCCAACCCCATCCTGAAATCTTCTCTCTTGAAAATAATCTTGCTGTTGCCGAGTCTCTAAATTCGCCTCTTCCTGTTTCTCGCCCTGTAAAACACTTTTCACCAAGTGAAGTCAAATTTATTATTGATAAGTACCCACAGAAAAAATCTCCAGGTTTTGATCTCATAACAGGCGAAGTGGCCAGATGCTTACCAAAAAAAGCTATAATACACCTCACCCACATTTTTAATTGTATTTTAAGACTTTCTTACTTTCCAATATTATGGAAAATTTCAACTATTATTATGATTCCCAAGCTTAAAAAACCTCCAGATACCGTATCTTCCTTCCGTCCTATTAGTCTTCTGCCTTTTTTCGCAAAAATTCTGGAAAAATTGATCCTTAAGCGCATCTTACCTAGTATCTCAAACTCGATTCTACCTGATAACCAATTTGGCTTCCGTTCTGCCCACTCTACCATTCATCAGGTACACAGAATTATCGATGCCATCTCGTACTCACTCGAAAAAAAACAGTATTGTACTTGTGCCTTCTTAGATGTGTCACAAGCGTTTGACAGGGTATGGCACGATGGTCTTCTTGTCAAATTCAATAAAATCTTGCACCCTGTATTTTACCTAACTATTAAATCATACCTGTCAAACCGTCATTTTCAAATTAGATTCGGTAATGCACACTCAACTATATCCAATATTTCAGCCGGTGTTCCCCAAGGGGGTATACTCTCTCCCATACTTTATAACATTTATGCTGCTGACCAACCTACCACACCAAACACTTTAATAGCTGATTATGCAGACGATAAGGCAATAATATCTATCAATTCAAATCCGGAAATAGCTTCATACAATCTTCAAAATCACCTAACCCTTATGGAAGACTGGTATACCAAGTGGCGAGTTAAAATTAACCAGACAAAATCTATCCACACTACATTTACACTGCATCTCTCTCCATGCCCCGAGGTATCTATATATGGTACTCAAATTCCTACTTCTTCCACTGTCAAATATTTAGGACTTACACTTGATCGCAGACTTACCTGGGCTCCTCACCTTAAATCTAAAAGACAAAATTTTAACCTACGGCTGCGCTTGTTAAAAAGTTTCTGCAATAACAATAAATACACAAACATTAAAACTAAACTTCTTATTTATAAATCTCTAATCAAGCCCATCTGGACATATGGCATACAGCTCTGAGGTAATGCAAAAAAATCCAACATCAACAAGATTCAAACTTTTCAAAATATTGCGCTAAGGAAACTACTTAATGCCCCACCTTACGTCTCCAACCATTCTATACAACAAGACCTCAGGATGAATTCCGTCAAAGACGAAGCAAAAATTTACTATTAGCGTTTTCACAGTAGGTTACCCAACCATCCTAACCCTCTTATAAAAAATCTGGCAATCCCTTCGATTCCGGGTAATCCCGCTAGGCGTCTTAAACGCAACTGGTGTCGTGACCTGCTAAATGCATGACCCCTAGAAAATCCCCTTACTAATCTGAAACAAAATAGGTAATGTCATCATTAGGTGGCTTCTTCCGTCATATTTTTCATGTTTTTATTACTCTTATCAAATTTACTTATTGTTCTATGAATAGATTGTAAATATCTTGTAAAAAAAAAAAAAAATATCATTGTAAAATCAATACATTCATCATTTCGTTCAGAATATAAAATATATACATAATTATACTAGTTAAAATATTTATCCTGTAAGTATTAAAAAAAAGAAAATATAAAATATAATTAGAAATTCAACTTTTCTACCTATAAAAAAATATACATATACTAATACTGTAGAATACATTAATAAAACTTTTAAAATAAATAATTGTTATTCATAACAACAAATAATACAAATTAAAATTGTGTACAACTGTTCTGTCTGTAAAAATCTAGAAAAAAAAAACTGTAGACTTTATTAGCAAACAATTCGTTGGCCATTCGGAATACTGGATTGATAGTTCCAATGATTAAAATTTAACTCCCCACATTAAGAAACCTAATTATTGATATCATCCATTCATGATATGTTTGATCTGATGTTAACGGTTTTCCCAATTTCTCTAACAATGTCATTTGTATATTTTTTTGGAAATATCATTTTGTCAAACTTCAAATTCCAAATAAAAGTTAAAAGTTTAAAAGCATTAAAACGTCTTTCAGTGGCGTAGCCAGGATTTTTAAATGAGAGTGGCTAATCACTTTTTTGGATAAGTTAGGTAAGAGAGGATATGATAATTCACCTTTATCCTCCCCACACCATCTACCACCAAGTTTTTAAATTTAATTAATATATATTATATTTATTTATTATTATATTTAAATTTATTCTTTTTCATTAGATAAAGTTGCCAGATCACTTAAGCGGTCTTGTGACATTGGACTTTCTAAAGTAGTTTTTAATAATCTTAAGTTTAGAAAAACTTCGCTCAGCCTCCGTCGAGATAATGAGAATTATGAGCATAAAGTTTGACAAATAAATCTGATTCCGAAACATCTTTTTCATCGCCTAATTTTAAAAACATGGCAAGATCCTTTCAATACCATAAAATATCTTCTTATGTAGACGTTAAAGTTTTCCAATTTTATATAAAAATCCAAAAATATTATTAAAATATGATTTTTCAAATATTTTTTTTTATTAACTGAATTGCATAATCCATTAGTTCTAAGAAGTATGAATATCAATCCATTATCTGGATCTGTTGTAAAATTTGTATTACCTTCGTATTTAAACAAAATTTTTTTCGGTATCGAGCAGCTTTAAGTTCTGTTTCATCTCCAAAGAGTCTGTAAGCTCTTTTGATTCAAATTTAGCTTTATTAAATCTCATTTTTCTGAAGGTACCTACTTATACATAAACTTAGTTGCATATGTATGTATACATATATATTAGTATTTGGACATTGTATATTTTTACAATATTCACTTCTTGCAGTAAATTGTACCAATTATTCAGTTAAAAAACTCGAAGTCCCTAGATGTGCGAGATCCTAGGTCCTTTGCGAGTGTCTAGTTTGTCCTTCCCTCCGCTGGCTCTTATGCGAAGCAAAAAAAAAACTAAGTTTTAAATTTTACCATTTTTGTCCAGTGATTATACTCTGTCGAAAGTATTTTAAAAGATTGGGCGAAATAATGCGAAACAAACGTGTAATACTATAGTCGTACTATGGTATTATATATTGACTACTTTGAGAAAAATATTTTTTGTCGCCTAGTGAAAATTCCTTATAAAATGCACTGACCCTTTTGGTGAACTCAAAAGCAATTTTTTTGGAGAACAAACAGTATATATATCGCCTCCTCGTTGTGTTCTCTGGATAACGTTAAATGATACTCAAATATTACAATACTATATAATTTAAAATAAAAGTATATTACAATAATATATAATTTAAAATAATCATTACGAACTTAATTTTAAAATTATCTAAACTAGTCTAAGCGAAACGGGCTATGCTCTTACGGACTATCGTTATACCGGAAAACCGTATTTTGTAGGTAATAAAGGAAATAAAGGAATATTTAAATTTTTCTAAAAATGTTTGTTTACGCTAATGGATAAGACAAAAATGTTAGGCCCTTCGCGGATGTGATCAAATATTCGCCTATAGAATTTACCATTGATTATAAATACTATTATAGTATTTATAATCAATGGTATTTACCAATGACAGACATCCATTATTCGTCAACATTTAGTTATTAGGTATCAAAGTTTTAAAATATTTAAATACCAAATAGTAGTATAGACATAGGTGTGCGCAGATTCCTGTTTCCGATGTGGCTTTTATTTTTTTGATCACCCCCCCCACTTATAAAACCCCACCTTAAAAAAAAATAGATATACAAAACATAGTAAGTAGAAATAAAATTTATTAGAAAAACTGATGTACAATCTTATTATCAATGAACGCCAGTCTCGGCAATTTTTATTTTTTTTATAATTTGATGAAATTGATAAAAAAATTTCTATTTTTCAAAAAAAAGAGATAATAGCCCTTTTTACTTATGTACCTAGTACATAGCTAAAAAAAAGTCTCAGGTGTGGCTATAGTCCTATAAGCCCCACTCGTGCGTACGCCTATGAGTATAGGTACTATTTTTGTACTTACACATACACACGAGCAATAAGGGGGGGGGGGAACTATAGCTATATACTCATTCAGTAGCTAAATATTTAATAATAAATAATATTACATTTAACTAATTTTACAGTTATTGGTCGGGATCAAACAGTTGGCTTACTATTTTTGAAGGTCTTTTTAATTATAGAATAGAAGAAATTAGAAAATAAAAAATCTACTTTATGATCCAAACAAGGCAGAAGTAATATTTCAAACTTTGTAAGTTACAATTTAACAGTAAACTTATAGTTCTTATAAGTTATAAGTTAATATTAATTTTAAGTTTAAATAATTATAACACGAAGATAAGAGGATTCGTTTTTAATATTTACAATACACAGCTGATAATAACTTATCAATAACTGTACTTATCTTTTTTAATTTAAGAATTTCATAATCTAATGCTTGAACCACAGAAATGTAAAATATACCCGTCGTATGGTTTATTTATAATTTTATGTGAAAGCCTTTGAACTCTTTATCATAATATGTGTGAGATCTGAGGAATTATTTATGGGTCGTCCAGTTAGTTTCGATAATGTGTGTGTAATTTTCTCTATATGTTATTTGTTAGAAAGTTATTAGTAAACTGTGTCCATTGTCGACGAATTTCTGCAGTTAATAATGGACAATAAAGACGATGAATTACCTGACAAAGATGCGGCCAAAGAATTTTATGCTAGATATGAACCCAAAGAAATACTGGGCAGGTGTGTTCAAGTATTTTCATTTATTAATCTCTAATAATTAATTTTTTTTGTTGTAATATTTGGTTGCATTTTAATCCTTTATTTTAAATTCAATCGGTGTTTTGGTTATATTCTAGAGGTGTCAGTTCGACTGTGAGGCGGTGTATTGAAAAAGAGACTGGAATAGAATTTGCGGCTAAAATTATAGATCTCAGCAATGATCCAGAAAGCAGAGAAGCTACTATGGAGGAGATTAACGTACTTAGATTGGTTATTGGACATGAATATATTAGTAAGTAATTATTTTATTTATAGCAATATTCATTTTTAACTCTCCAAATTTTTTAATTTAATTTTAGTACATTTGCACGATGTATTTGAGTCAGAGACATTCATATTTTTAGTCTTTGAACTCTGCAGAAACGGTGAATTGTTTGATTATTTAACTAATGTTGTAACATTATCTGAAAAAAAAACCCGGTATATTATGCGGCAATTATTTGAGGCTTTACAACATGTTCATAAGCAAGGTGTTGTGCACAGAGATATTAAACCTGAAAATATTTTACTTGATGATTCACTTGACATTAAACTCACGGATTTTGGATTTGCAAGTGTTCTAAAACCAGGTCAATTACTTAGAGGTAAGTTGACAAAGAATAATTAAAATAGTTACATATTTTTCCTACAAACATCGAAATGTATTAGTCTTTTAAATTGAATTATTTTCTATAATTATCTATAGTTATTATTATACTTTTATATTTTATTTTAATAACATTATTTATTTCATATAAGAAGTTGTTTTGCAAGATACTTGAGGTGAGAACTACTATAATACCCAAACTTATATAAATTTGTTTATTTTTTCAATATTTTAACACATTTTACTAATTAATTTTATTTTTAAATAAATGATAATTTTTTAATGTCCAATCTTTTTTTTCTTCTAACACTTTTTTATTTTATTTATTATTTAGATTTATGTGGTACTCCAAATTATTTAGCACCAGAAGTATTAAGAGTAAATATGTTTGATGATGCTGAAGGATATGGATTCTCCTGTGATCTGTAATTATATTGTTAAAATAATTAATTTATACCTTATTGTTAATATTATGGTTTTCCTGCATTATCTTAGTTGTATAATCTGGCTCGTAGCCAGATCAAATCATCAAGTGGGGCAAACCAAATTTTAGAAGGGATATTAAAAAAAAACAAATAATGCATAAAATACCATTACATAGCACATATGCATTTTTTATAATTGTTGGAGGAGCAACGATTATGTTCGGGGGCAATGCCCCTCTTGTATCCCTATGGCTATGGGCTTGTGTAGGATTAAATTATTTTGTTAAGAAACTTCACAGTAAGTTTTAGACTTTTTATCTTAATGAATCTCAAACTGGAAATGAAAACAGAAAAATAATCAGTAATTTACATAAGGGCACTTGGAATATCAGAATATTTTTAAATTAGGGTCAATGAAAATAATTATTAGTAAGATAACAAATAATAATTTAAACATCATAACTCTGCTGAAGATGAGATGAGTAGTGAATGGTATTACTAGACATAAAAAGTCAACAATTTTATATAGAGGATGTAAGGAAAATCAAACTTGCATTTTGTGTCAGATTTATGATAAATAATATATTGTTAACAAACAAAAGATTTTAAGTCATAAATGAATATATATATATTTCATATATGAATTAATGGGCAACATATTATAGTATTCAGCTGTCACTTACGAACTGAAGGAAAATATGGAGAAATTAAAGACATGTTTATGATGAAAATGAGTAGGTTTATAATTCACATTAATATAATAATTTGAGACATAGATGCAAACAAAGGACAAGAAAATATATATAGACTAATTATTGCCGAGGAAAGTCTTCATAGCACTTTCAATGATAATGGAGCTCGTCTCATGTATTTCATAATATCTCATGGTATCATCATCAGTAGCACATACTTTTAGGAAAAGGACATCTACAAGCAGACATAGATATCCTCTGATGCAACAATCAAATCAAATTGTAATGTAATAATACATAAAAAATATCATTCGTGGTTCAAGAATTTCTGAAGTTATTAAAAGAGCAGATGCAGATATAAAACAATACTTAGAAGTAGCAAGCCTTACTGAAAAGTTATTGATTATCTGGAAGGAGAATACAAATTGGAGGAAAACAAATATAACTTATGTAGATAAATTAAATAAATTCATTGAAAATTGTACAATATATAGGACAAGAACTATAAGAAAAGAAATATAGAACAAATTCTAAAATATAAATGATGAAAGATGGAAAACAAATTGTCTAGTCATGAAGATTAATGGACAAATATCAAAAACATAATTCAGCTGCAAAAAATCTCAAAGTAAAACTCAATCATAAAAAATAAAAAAAATAAATACTGGTTCAATAATGAATAGACCTATGGAATTCAATAAGAGTAACAATGCTTGCATAAAAATGATGCACAACCCGTTGGCTGAGTAAATAATAATAAATAAATAAAATAAAGTAAATTTTAAACAATTTAAGGAGTTAGCAAATAAAGTAATAAGAAAACACCAAAGACTTTATAAAAAAAAGCACTTGAACAAGTATTTGAATAAGATAGGTGTCTCTATCTTATTAAAATACTTGTACAATCTATGGAAGATTTTCAAACACTGCAAATGGCTTTAATAAGGTTTTATACTACTTACATTTTTCTTAAAAAATGACCAAAATGATCTTCTTTCAGAACCAAGAGATATAGTACAATATTTTAGAAAAAATATTGACACTATTCAATACAAGTTAGAAAAATTGAACCAAATAAATAAAGAACTGACCTATCATATGGCTGATTTAGAAGAAAAAAGACTGCAACAGATCATATTGTTAAGATAAGACAGTTAATGGCAAAAAATTCTATGAATACAATAAAGATCTTCATATTATTTTTATAGATTTAAAACAAACACATGATAGTATTGATCGTGAAGAGCTCTAAGCAGTACTAAAAAATTTAGATATTTCATGAAAACTGGAAAAATTAGATGAAATATGAAACCAACAGACACATTAAAAAAATGCATTATATGGGATAGAAGAGAAGCCTGAAACATTTGAATGTAAAATTGTGTAATGCCAGTGATTTGATAAAAGATTTAATTTAGAACGATGTGGATGAATCAAATTTAGAATATTGATGTGATATGGGTTTTAGAAATTTTTTTCACTCTTAAAGTTTTATCTTCAATTCACTCCTTTTTTAAAAAAATATGTTTTAAATAGCAATTTAAAAGAAAAAGAAAATGAAATAAGTGGACTACAATTAAAGTTTTGGTTACTACAAAAACCAAATGCCAATTGAGATTGAGCTAAAAAGCGTCTATACTAGGCATGTCGACTTCCTTTGATATAGACTGCCAGCGCGCGGGTTACGATCAGCAATATGTTAGGCATAATAACGAAGCCAACAGCCATATCCACATTAGTGCAGCTTTACCGATCGGTATAGTGAGGACGCACTTTTACGATAGAAAAAAATGGTGAGAAATGTGGAATCAGCAAAAGTCTTAATGTTCTATTTTGAGCCTGAAAAGAAGAAGAAGGATTATCATTTATAATCTACTAGGTAAAATTAAATTTAAACCAAAACATTTAATCAAATATTGTAGGTATATGTAAATGAGGTACATAGTATGTTACTTTAGAAACATTCTGTTATAGTGGTATTAAATGCACAATTGCTGGGTTGAACTTGTTTTTGGCAGTTTTGCTTTTTGGTCAGGGCGACCACTCAGAGAGAAGAAATTGTCAATGCCTCTAATTTATAATATATATATATGATTTCCAAAAATGTTTGCTTATATATATATATATCTTGTTTATTTCATTCTGATGATTGTTTAATATTTATATAATAAATGTTTTTTTTTCATAGGTGGGCATGTGGTGTGGTTATGTATACATTGTAAGTAATTTAATTAATAGTAGACTAGCTGAATAATATAATTCAAAAATAAAACTTTCAATATTTGAATTTATTACAGATTAATTGGTTGTCCTCCATTTTGGCACCGTAAACAAATGATTATGTTGAGAAATATTATGGAAGGAAAATATTCATTTGATTCTCCGGAATGGCAAGATATTTCTGGTAAAAATAATTAGTTTTTCAAGATAAAAATTATTTGAAAACATAAATATATGTATAAATGTCAATTATATTTTTTATTTTATATAAGTATAGATTCACCAAAAGATTTAATAAGAAAACTTTTAGTTTTGGACCCAAGTGATAGGTTAACTGTAAATGAAGCACTGGAACATCCATTTTTCAATGTGAAAGTAAGTATATACTATTTAAATAAAGGAAAATTTTTAAAATTATTGTTTGAATTCTAGATGTTTGATCAAGAAATTGCACCACTTAAAAGAACACTTAGCATGAGATCGACAAAATTCAATGAAATATCCCAATTAGCTAAACAAATAAAAGTACGACCATTTAATGCTCGTAAGAAATTTTTGTATGTTATTCTTGTTGTGCGTGTGATGGTAAGATTATTAAGATTATTACCGTGTTCAACTGGTAAAATTTCAGTGAATTTGGTTAAACAAGACCCCTACCGACATAAAATTTTAAGAAAAGTAAGTCAAATCTTTAATTGTTTTTACATTTATAAAACTGGTGATTTTAAATGTTTATAGCTTATTGATGCAATGGCATTCAGAGTATATGGTCACTGGATTAAAAAAGGCGAAGGACAAAATAGAGCAGCTCTCTTTGAAAACATACATAAGACTGAATTAAAAGTAATTTATATGAGTAATTTATCACCATCTTTGTAAACTTTGAGTAATATGATTGTTATATTTATGATAGTCATTATAATTTAATTATTTTATAAAAATAATCAACCTAAGTCTAATTTAAACTAATGTCTTCCGTTGTGAACTTCCATCTGTTATATTGTATTGTTGATATTAACTCTTAAGATTAAGTACTTGTTATTAATTCTAGTACAGTTGTTTTTAATTAGTTAAATATTAATAAAATATTGTTTGAAATGATTTTTATAGAAATATTTTTTTATAGACCTATTTACAAAAAATTAAACAATAAAATAAAATACAAATATAATGATAATAGGATGTTTTTTAAAAATATAGTTATTAATATATAAGTGATGTGATGAATGGAAATATCAAATAATTTATAAAACTAAATAATGGTATATTTTTGTTTGATAGATTTTAAAAAATAAAGTTATTTATCGGTATTAGCTGTTGAGTATAATATTAAAAACAATGAATATGGTATTAATTTGTTTTTATAATATTTATACTTTTATTTTAATTATATTAATACTTTAAAAATTATATTGTAATTTTATGTGTCTTAACACTAGTTTAGAACACCTTAAATCCTGTTGTGTGTTTTGATTACCAGTACATAGTTATAATTGTTAATATTAAGTTATAAATTATACATAGAGATATCAACAAAATATCATGTATGAGTTTTATGCATATTCATTCTTTTTTCTGTTTAACCGAGAGACCGGGAGGGTCTGATAAGCCCGCTTCTTCTTGTACTGGTACTTTTCAAAGTGTTCTATAAAGCTATGATTATAGAAATTGAAAAAAAAAATTTAATACACTTGGTTATAGATTTATTTAATTTTCAGAAAGAAAAAGTATAAGTTTTTTGTTATCATTAAATGATTGATTTAGATTTTTGATACAATATTTAAAAGATTCATTTTAAAAAGTTCTAAAACATTTAGTTACATTAACTTTATATTATTATTATTATTTTGTTTATTTTATAATAGGTATATAAAAACACAATAGAAATATATTATTAATATTTATACATAATTCAAGTGTCAACTATCTAATGAAATTAAAATTAATAATTCAATGGAACTAATTTAAAATTGTTTATTTATTATTATTTTTCTTCCTGATGTTAAGATATTTTACCTGCAATTTATATTACAATATTACAATATAATTCAACATAACATTATATCATTGATTATAACTACTAATATTTATAATTAAGGCTCGGATTTTAAAGCAAATGCTTTTTTTTTTTTTATATATATAAGGTAGAACTTTAATTTTTAAATATAAATTTGTTTCACGTCTTTCTGTTTCCAAATAAACCAATTTATTTTTGCTTTTTTTTTTGCATTTTTGTTGTTTTTTCAGTTATTCCAGCTGTGGAATTTTTATATGTTTATTATATTATAATAATAATAACAAAAAAAAAATATTTAATTAATAACAAATGTGAAAATCCAGAATATGGACTAAATGGTTGTATTGGATTATTATTGTATTTCAGCTTAATTGTTAAATTTATTAAACATATAGATTATCAATCTGTAGACAGTTAGATCATTGACAAAATGTATAAATATTATCTTAGATGCAGAAAAGATGTTAAATTAAGCTAATACAGATATTTCAACTGTAATTTCGGGTAAACTAAATCGTGTTCTTGTAAAAAACGAAGGCTGGAAACGATAACTAGACATTAATAATATACTGGTGGCATTTAATCAAACAAAATTAATTATTTTAGGTTAGATTTAAGTGAAACCTCTTGCATAAAGTGTGTACTGATAACTTCATTGGATGTAAAGCATTCGTTTTCTAAGTAAAAAAATATTCTGTCAGATAATAAAGACGGTTTAACTACAGTAAATCTTACAAAATACATGGTTGGTAATTAATTATTTTTTTGATTTAATTAAATTTTTTTATTCAGTTTTATAACTAATTCATGTTATTTTTTGGTCATGCTTTTGTTTTGCATTTTTTAAAAATACATTTGCTTCATTTTTGCTTTTTTTTTTATTTATTATGCTTTAAAATCTGAGGCCTATTTATAATCAGTGATGATATTCAACAGAATACTATATACTACCTATGTACTTTATAGCAGAATACTCAAAACACTGTTTAAAAATTAAATTTTAAAGAAGTAAGTCTATAGGGTCACTGAATACCCAATATTAAATAAATTAAAGAATAATTTTAAAGACAGTGACGCAACTATAAGAGTTTGGGGTTGTGACCCCCTCCCCAATTATGTAGTCCGCTCAAAGTTAATAGTTTACCAAAGTGGTCTGCCGAGAAGAAAAGTTGGGCATCACTGTTGTAGTTTACTTAACTTTACTCCATTCTTTCCACTTAACCCTTTTTGAAATGACATTTTTTCCATATGTATACCTCCCTCTTTGAAAATAAATTCTGGTCGGGGCACTGGTTCTTATATTACGTATTATTGTATTGTGCAGGGTTAACATTTGAATTCACACTACACTACATCCAAACATCCAACACTATTTACAATGAGATTTTAGCGTACACACAGAAAAGGTAAACTAGCGGTGACTACTTTTGAATATTTTTGCAATTTTCAGGTGACTAACGAAATTTTTTTTGGCGGCGCCACCACAAATTTTATTTTTAACAACAGGTAGAAATCATATACTCTAATATATATTTCATATTTGTATGTATGTTTATTTAAAATCGAAACTCCCCACCCACATATATTGTCATAGCGTTTCCTTGGCCCAATTACGGGTCAACGACGTGCAATTTTTTTTTGCATACCTATTCCCCCGGGTGTCCCCTGAAATTCAAGTTCCGCTCGCATGCGTACACACGCACGCTGCCACGCTGCTCACTGTACGGGGGAAAAACGGCCGGGTTTCTTGCAACGGAGTTTCTAGTCACCGGCCGCCGCTATCAATCCTCCCCTCCCCATTGAATATAACTGATCATCGCTCAACCATACGACTTACAACACTACTACAGCTATACTTCACCATTTCTATTAACCGTGCGTACAATAATATTGTGCGACGAGCCCACATTGCCAATTACACTCGATACTCGCGCGTAAAATTAAAACGTTGCCAATTTCATTGACCGCATTTGTTTCGGCGAATAAGTGCACATATTTTAAATACTACATTGTAGATAGATATGACCTGTTTTGTTTGTGTGTATATATATATATACACATCTGTATGTGTCCCTTTCAATAGGTATTATAGTACGAGATCGAAATTCAGTATATATTTTTCTAACAGGTCAATAAATGTTGATAATAATAACGAAATTTATAATATTTTGTAACATCGTATGATCATCGGTCTATTTGATTACCAAGCAAAAACTGTGGGGAGTTTCGAAAACAATAGTTTGACAATTTCGATTCAACGCGGTACACACTCGTAAACAATATTTCATACTACCTACTACTATTACTGAGTCGTATTGTGTGTACGGAGTACGAAGGCGACGTTAACACCGCAGTATTATGACAAACCAGTATACGTAAAATAATACATTATATTATACTGTATTATATTGTATATGTGTGTATACATATATATATATATAAGGCCAGTGGCGGACAACGTGCGGATAAACATTGACGAAAAACTACGCAGCTTTACATGCACACATCGTATTTCACACAAAAGGACGCAGGACAGCGTTTTGCCGCGCGCTCGCATTCTCCGAGTTCGAAGGTTTGAGTGTGTGTACGATCTACTGTCACCACCGCCATCCGAAGTCTGCCACCGCCACCGCCGTCGTCGTTGTCGCTGTGCCGTCACCGCCGTACGCGCACGACTCAATACGGACGCCGCTGGAGGCCACGCCTACCCGGTGGACTTGTACGCGTCGGATTGGATGGCGACCCGGACACGTGAACAACCGCCAGCGTGCAGCGCCCGGGCCCCGCCGATCATTTCGGCTTGCGAAAATCCTACGCGCACCACGTAGCCCGCCGCGCACCCGGCAACACACAGCCAGTAGCCTCAACGGCACACAGCGAAGACCGATCCGTGGGCACGTTATAACGTTTTTTTTCACTTTTTTTCCGTTTTTCTCAATTGACCGGATCGACGTGTGTGTTTGTTTGTGTGTGTGTGTTGTGTTTGTGTGTTTCCGTATTAATGTTCGCGTGACTGTGTGCAACCGATTTTCCCGTTTTAGTGAATTACGCTTCTTTTTGTTTACCGCCACTGCCGCCGTTGCGTGTGAACATAGTTACGAGTACTCGAAAATTACTCTGCTAGTTATTAGATTTTTAGAGTAAGAAAATTACTATCGGCAAGAAGAGGATAAAAGTGATTGTTAATATATTTTATTCGCTCGTCCGCGTAACGAACTCTTAGTTTCCTGTTCGTTCTCGCGCCACTCAACATGAAGCGGTCGCGACGAGCGTGACTAGGCACGGCAGGGCGTCTCGCGATTGTGTAAATGGTGTTAGCGTCCAGGGTACTGTGATATGTTTGCTGTTGACACGTGGACGACGACGGAGGAGGTGGCTTGCCCGGGCCAGCATGAGCATGAGATGCGGGCTACAGACACTGCTTGAGGCTGCGCAATTCGTCGAGTTACAGGAAGAATTCGAGAAACAACAGTTGGTCACCTTACACGCAGCTGGTAATTATAACAATATGACTTCTAAATTATTTTATAGAGAACAATATGGAAAAAAGAAAAAAATATTTTAATATGTTGAGATGAAAGAAAAACAAAATAAAAAGTTTAATTTTCTTTGGTCACGCATATTTTTTTAATGTTTACCCGACCTCCGTGGCACAGCTCTTATGTTGTGCACACCGTGTATGTGCATTGAACGGTGCGCGTTAGAATTCAAGGGGGGATGAGCATTTCGCAATGGGTGGAGGGTTGGTCCGGTGTGGAGGTGTGTGGATCGGGTCCCCCGGGGGCGGCGGTGGTAGTGGGAAACGAAGATTCCGTGAACGGATAGAGAGCGGGCGTGGCTGGGCGCACACTGTATTTGTGGAATGACCTTCATTGTCCTCTCTCTCTCTCTCGCAACGTGTGATGCGGTATGGTGGCCACTCGCTGCCGCCTTCGTCATTGCTGTCGCGACGGCCGCCTTTGCCAGAACGTGGATTCTTGCATGCGCGCCTAAAGATACCAGCGTCCTGAAGGTCACGTGCTGTGGAAAAACTCGCCCTCTACTTCATCTACCCGCCGGTACATACACGCAAACATACAGACTTCGTGCGAACGCATGTGAAGTATGTGTGTGCGCGCGTAAACATTTGCCACATGGCTCCCCTACCCGCCGCATACCGCGTCACAACCATTCACCCTCGAAAATTTTCCTATACTGCCGAAATTATATTTTTTTTTATTAATTTAAATTACTCAATGTATGGCGTGTATCGAATTTTCGTTGTGTAGCTTGGCTTATTTTCAATCGTTACGTTGGCCATCCTGCCACGTAGCACACGGTCGACCACGTGGAGTTCTCGTCTGGTCCTGTCAGTCCGCGTCAATGCGTTTTTGTTATTATTTCTATTGCATATTTGTATATTATTATTATTATTATTATTTTTTTTATTACTATTACTATTACTACTGTGCTACACGCGGCATCTCTCCCCCACTTAAAACATTGCGCGTACTCTGTACGTGCGTATAAACACGCGGTGTCGTGAGATCGATTTGAAAAGGAAACGTAACGCACCACTTTGTTTTTATTTCTTTTGCGCGTCTTTGTACTTGAACACCCCACTACTTTCTCTTTTCGCTCATGATAATTTATACATTCGATTAATAACTATATGTATATTACATTTATCCATAGTTAACGATATACATATTATGTACAATGCTGAATACTGATTCTTTTGGTGAAGATATTGTTATTATATAAACTGGCTGAGGTGAAAGTGCAAACTCTGGTTTCCGTAACGCCAATTAATTGGTTTCTAATTTTCCAGCATGTGTACTCGCCGTGGTTGGCGAACCTGAGTTTCTCTGGCTTACGTTTCCCCCCTAAACTCGAAGAGATGTTCGGACAACTGTGACCAATCTTTTTGTCGTTGTCTCTCTAGTTCTCTACAATTACGTCCCGTTGAAAGTTGTTTTCCTCGTCCCCTTGCCGTACGGCAGTTATGTCACGAATTACTCATATGTGATAGGTATTGCAAAAATGAATACAAAAACTAATCGACAGAATCGATCAGTCGGCTAAAAACTCATGGTGCTTCAGCGGTTTCCGAATAGTGGTTGTTCCTATGACCGACCCCCTATATATTGTGACATTAAAATTGTCGAAAAGATCAATCTGTAATAAGTTTTTATTATTGAACAACAAAATGCATTAAAACAGATATTTTATAGATTAGTCAACTTGGCAATAAAATATACAGTACCTCTGGTAAGCGATTAAATATACATTTATGTATGATACGTTTTTCTTGAACATCCGCCACATTAAGTCATTACACTGTACAACCAATGATGCTGTTGGCACGTTTTCTTTCGCTGTTGTATGCGTTATTAAGTTAATAAATTATACATGTACTTATGAATCGTGAAAGTGTGTGTTTTTGAAATATTAAGTAGATTAATTCATTGATTTATGAGGGGGGTGAAAAAAATTAGAAATTTACTAAATTATGTATTTACATTTTACCGGTTTTTTACTTAATGATAATTTCATTAAAAAAGGTAATTAAGACTTATGGACTTATTTTTAAGAAAAAAAGAGAACTAGGTGAATTAATAAAATTCTTTGTCTTTTGATAATGTTGTTATTTTATTATGTATAACCTTATGTTACTTACTTCATAAGTAAGAGATTATCGACAGATAAGATTTTAGAACAACATATAAGATTGTTTGTAATGATTGAGTTTTATTCATTTACATATGTAAAATATCGTTTTTAACATCACAAACTTTTTGATTTCTTGCGTATTGAAGAAGATGACAATTTTTATTATTGTATTGTCGCTTGTTTATGAAAAATAATATTTGCTTTAATAATTGCACTAGGTTTATACTAATATCTTATATTATTATAATAATTTACTAATATTATTATATTATTTAATACTAATTATATTTTAAACCATTTAATTCAACCATTTACACATAATTCAATTAAAAATTTAAATTTTCATAATTTTTATGTAGTATATCATTGAAAAATATTTGAAGTTTGGTATATGCGAATATATAATAATAATATCAAGTTCAATTAAGTGTATTTATTAATATGAATTTTTTAAAAATTTGAATATATCAAGTAGTTTTGTACAATTTTTTTCTGAATTTAAAATTCTATCGCTCGTCATAGTGAATTGTAATCATCTTTAATAGTATTATTAAAAATTTAAAAACCGACGTTATCTTCTAAGTCAACATTTCATCATAGTATTATTGATTTTAATAATAATTATGATTGAGATAACTATAAATATTTAAATATTACGTACTTTTGTGCTATTATCATTGGCTGGAAAACCATACTAAACTTAACTTTGTATGGAATCTCTTTAAATTATATGATTTATTTTTGTTGTTGACTAATACGACGATATTCATTCACTGAGATAAGTTGTTGTGGCCAAAATTTGCAAGATGAGACGAATGTTTCATACTGAGTTGTGTCCTTATTGTTTTTTATTTTCTAAAATAATTGTATTATGTGTTCAATGATTTTAAAATATGATTGTGACTTTTTAAACATATTAGTCAATTTGTTTTTTATTAATTTATATAATCTTCATTTAAAAATGAAATAAAAATAATAATTTTTGATGCTATATGAATTTATAATGCTAGTTTTTAAATAATTTTGAGTTGACTTTTTAAAGTACTCGTTATAGCCGAATTGAACTTATTATTATTTCTTGTTTTTCTTATCTCAAATTATTGTATTTTATTATTCTTAACCAATATAAATAATGAATTATAAATATTACTAAATCATTTAACTATGAAATATGATATAGAAATTATTGATTAACAGCTTTAAATTGTATTATTTTGTCTTTTACTGATATTGGACTTGATGTTGATTGATTATTATTTAGCTATTAATAACATTCCTTGATTTTATGTATATTTTCTATTTTCTTTATATTTGTATAAAAACTACACATGTACTTATATTGTTAAATTAATTTTATAATAGTAAATATGTACTGATGTGAGATTAAGAAAATTCAAATTAATTTACATTTGCTAAAATTATAAGCTTTTGTTATAAAAGTAATTATATTTTATTTTTAAAAAAATATTTTTTTTTAATTTTGCATATCGTGTTGTAGGACTATCGATATTATTTTAACGTAAATAACTAGATATTTATAATCACATTCAATTCATTGTACTTGTTTTACATAAATATATTATATACATTATAAGCATAGGTATCTAAATGTAATTATTATTAAAAAAAATGTCATACAGCTTTGTATAGAGTTTGCTATAATGCGATCGTGATAAAAAAATAATCCAATTATTATATCTTAAATTAGATTGTTAGGTATAGTTGTAACTAAAAAGACAATCATTATTAATTTTTTTATGATAATAAAATATTTTCTTAATTAAATGATAATTTAAGTTTATTTTTGTTTGTCTAACCTATTTATTTATTACAGTTTAAAACTAATTTAAAATATCTGCACTCAAATTTTACCCGTTTGGTTTAATTAAATAATACATTGTTACATTTCTTAATTATTTGTATTGTACATTTAGAATAATAATACAAGTCTACTCGAGCACACACACTATTTTTTCTCTACAAAAGTATTTTTTTTTTTTAATATTTGTAGATTTTTTTTTTATTTCGTTTTTCGTGCGTTTTGACTAATGAAACTCTCGTTTGCAATGTAACAGTGTATTGTCCTATAAAACTGGTTATTTCGGTAATAATACAATATTCGGATGATTTTCGTCTGAGAACGAGACTTCTTATTGCCCGTATTATTTTAAATACTATACCGCGCCCATTTAGTGCTTCTTTCAATGCCCGTGAAAAATAGTAAATCTACAGCGTAAGCAAATTAAAATTAGTTAATAAAATGAGCGCACTCATATACACATACAGTTAGTAACGCGCGTGTAATGGATTTAAATATTAGTCCACGTGGAAATAATGTCTGTAACTTCAGTTTCCGGGATTCCGTGTGTCATCCTCCCCCTCTGTTGTGTTATATATTCGCCGCCACCACCGCTAACGTGTGCAATTTCATTATGCACGTTTTTCTTCGTCGATAAAAACCACTGCTGCTACTCTACTACTATATATACCGGAGAAATGACTAATGTGGCCGTCCTTAATCTGACGTCACGGCGGTAGTAGATCGACGTTTATTTGAATAACGTGTGTACCGAATTTGTATGTGTATTTTAAAAAAAAAAAAAAACTTAGGTATGGTAGGTGTTATGTTGCGTTGCCCAGTTTTCATACTGCTTCTCGTTGACAATTGAAGTTTTACATTTTTTTTTATTTTAGTTTTTACAATGCCGTTCGTTAAAGAAAACAATGGCAAAAACATGGAAAAAAATTAAATAAAAAAGAAATTATTAAATCATCGAAATGTTGTTTTATGTTAATTAAGAAAAATAAAGTGTAGTATACATTATATCATTAGAAAGCCAAC